TGTAGTGAACTTAATGTCATGACCTGATGTCAAAACTAAGCCTAAGGTCAAAACCCTTGACCTTAAGAACCTTGTGGGACAGAAACTGTCATTTCATTGATTTGAATCCAGAAATACAGGTTCACCCATCCTGAGACTTTCCTTCTTGAAAATCAAGTGAAAGAACACTCTCTTTTCTATTATCATTACTGTTTTACAAATGTTGATAATCAAAGTGTCTTAGTTCAAACCATTTTAGATGTTGCAGTGAACTAATCAATTTTATTAACTGTGAAACAGTGTAATGATTTTTTAATGCTTATGCAGAGTTAGAATTCATGTTAAGGTCTGTTACAGATTTTTATGCATTTTCTGATTTCTGTCTTTGAATGAGCAAGTGTGCGTTTTCCAAGGTCAGGAGTCGAAGCAGACATGTGTTGGAACAACTGTCTTGTTTACATCCTCTCAGACGTCAACGGAGGAGGTGGCACCTGTTTCTAAAACTCGCCAAACAAAACTCTCTCTGTCTCTGAGAACAGTTTAATCTGTTCCATAACAATTCTTGCTGTTTTCTGACTTCTAGTAACCTCTTACATCACAAAACACACCCCTGTCTGGTTGATATTACCCAATCAGGGACGCTCAAATATACCGGAAATAGAGCTCTTTAAAATGCCGGTACTTCCTAGTTCTCTCAGTTCGATCAAGCTTCTGAGGAGTTCGGTGAGGCGCTGAGAAGTCGTTTGGGAGAACAGAAGTCCAGCATGATAAGGCTCCTCCGAGTTGGATTATAATATCCTCCACCTCTGAGTGGAACTTCTGAAGGACCCCACTCATGTGAAGTCTATTGCTGATGTGAGCTGGTGTCGGACGGAATCTCGTCACTACTTCGGACGAGTCACAGCCATCCTATGGAGACGCTGGACAGGTAGCATTAACTGGACCTCCATATCTGCTGATTAATCTTCAGAAAGGTAATGAGTCAAGTTTCCTACCAAAGCGTACCGAGGAAAGCTGGGTTCTGATGGAGAGTGTCGGTTCTGGTCAACACTTCCCCTCACCTACCATCTTTTACTCCCTTTAAACTTCATTTCCATCTTTAAATTCTTCTCTCAAGTAGAAATCCTTCCAGATAATTTAGAAATGTCTGTGTAAAGTGCTCATCCACCGCCGTGTGGATAATTGATCATAATTGTACAGTTTTCATTGATGTCTGCTGTTCTGCTGAAGAGTGGAAACAATCGCCGAATTGTTTCTCACTACCTGTAAAGCTGTTAATTATGTTGTTATTTTCATATTTTGCCAAATTAATGTAAAAGTTTGATGTTAACTTTGATTCTGTAAATAAATGACCGCATTCATTTTGATGGGTCAAAGATAAATGACGTCTCACGTTTACATTTCATTAAATTAAATGCACGTTTTATCCAGTCCAGAAAAATGAAGAATCCGTTTTAATT